ATGTGCTATAAAATTACTATGTGTTAGATCAATGTATCATTGACGGTATGTATGTATATGATTTTTAATAAGTTGGAATAAAATCATATAGATTGTTGCTTAAAAAATAAATTTTTAAGTGAATCAACCAAACCGTGTGCCTAAAAATGAGTCTGTAGGTTGGAATTAAAGAAAATTGGTTCTTTGTAATGTCCTATTGTTGAACAATTCTCAAGAACATGGTAAAGGAAAGCAAGAGTTAAAAACTTTTCCTTGATTGAAAAGTCAAAAAGTTTGTCTTTAACATTGATCAAACTTTCGATGCTAATCCCAAGTTTGGCATGGAGGGGGACGTATTCCCACCTCCCCAACATGAATTAACGCAATCCTTGATATATACATCCACATATATATCGTAAGCGTTGCATGATTTTCAGCAAGTTACGAAAAGACAGAGTGATGAGAAAAAGTAAAGCGAGCAATGTTGTTGCTTTAAAGGATCAATTGATTCAAATAACGAATATAATTAAGATTGATGATGAATATTTTCTTTAAAGAAAGTAATGATTGATAAATAAGCCCAAAATTTTTCATTTCACCATTGCAGATAAGCCCCTAATGATAGTTTGGTGGCAAATTTGCTTCTAAACTTACAAAGAGAAATAAATCTGCCCAAAGTGGATGAAAATTATTAGTCTCGAATCCATTATAATTCACTGACAAGGATGATTTTTGGGAGATGGACAAATTACCCTTTATTGTTTATGGTTAAACACCAACAAAGTCTCTAAACTTTCAATTTTACCCTACTTTGGGTCCCTAAACTTTCAAAAGCCCTAAAAAAGTCCTCAAACTTATTTGTTCATGCGTTTTGGTCCTTCTATTAAAGTAATACTTTTTCTTTTGTATCAACAATGTAATACTACTATTTCCTTAATTACAAGAGATACTTAAATCCATTTAACTTATTTGTCACATGCAATACTGCAAGAAAACATATGACAATTAGGGATTATTTGGTTGGGGAAAAGTTGTTCCCCCTAAATTTTTTTAAACTTTTTTTTATAATTTATTTATATATTTTCACACATTAATACTTTAACAAAAGGAGGTTAAAGTGATATTTGTAGTTTTTATTTTTTTAATATAATTCTTAATTTGTAAACTTTTTTTCTCATACTTTTTTAAGAGAAAAAGTTTTCCATGCTTTCGTTACGCAGAATTTATTTGACAACTTTGTTATTAACTTTCTTTGTAAAATTTCTTACTAAATATAAAAAAAATTTAATAAAATTTAAATAAAACTTCATTACAAAACTTGTCAATTTTTCATATAATACTTATTAACTTTTTATACAATACTTTTCAAATCATTTTACTCAAAAAAAATTTCTCGGTAAAGTTAGCCTCTAATCAAACATGCCTTTAATGTAATACTAAGTGTGTTCTCTATTTTTTATAAAAAAAGAAAAGAAAAAGAAAAAGAAAAAAGTATGTTCTCCATTAAAAAACATGTGACTATCTCCGGTCCCATCAAGCAAATTTACTGCTTTTTGAAAGTTCAGTTGCAGAATATTTTTTTACTAGTCTGGACTGAAAACATTAAACCCTAATTAATATGCAAACAATTTTTTATCTTTAGTGAATTAGTCATGCACAATGGTTCATTAAGGACAAAAATATCATTTCAAATCCAAACTGACAACTAATTTTTTTCCTAGTTTCGACGAAAAACATCAAACTCTAACGTATTTCTTAATTTGCTTATAAAAAAATTAATATCAATTCAGGAAAATCCTAAATCCTCCACTATTAAATTGGGAGATTAATTAATAAAATCTCTGAAGCATAAAATCCAATGGACTTCATGTCAAGTTGTTTGTAACCCTAACACCATCTTTTCCTAGTCAAGGTGTAAGCACCTTTATCCTTTGTGCTTCTATTATATGGGAGAAAGTAGTTAGTATTGGTTATTAACTAACCAATTAAATGGATATGTAGTTACACATGCATTATCTAACTAACGATATTTTAGATAAGAAATGCAGAACACAAAAATAGATAAGGTTTTTACTCAAAATGTTTGGGATTAATACCAACCTCCTTGTTATTAAAATCCATCTTCCATGTGGAGGTGTCATATAACCTTATTGCATGTGAACTAGACTGAACTCATCATTATATGATCCAGACAAACCATGACGCTATGAAAGTTTGAACACACAC